AAATTCTGCCAACTGAGGTACCGGTGAGAGAGGTTTTGCTCTTCTCTGTTAAGGAATGCTTTGCATAATAGCTGAAAGTATTTCATTAGCATCCTGAAGGGCAGCAGCCGAAAAGATTGAAATCTGTGTTTCAATTATTTTTCTTAAGTGTAACTAAAAAATCTGGCATTTAAGCGAAAGTGAATGATTTGTCTAATTTCCATCAGGGACTCTTTCAAAGTCACAGAAAATGTGGTTAGTAGAATTCATGACTCTCCACTTCATCAGAGCAATTCCCCAGGAAATAAAAGGGGCAGGAAGCAGTTCGCAAGGCCAGTGCCTTTTACCTTTTTAAATAATAAAAAACTGGGCTTCCTATTGTGACATTAACCCAGTTCATTCAAACTGTAAAGTGCCCCGAAGAATCATCCCAACGCTCCTGCACAGGCCTTGGTCTTGCCCTGCTTTTAAAGATTTCTCCTGTGCCTCAGACAGATCCGTCGGGAAAAGGGACAACTCAGTCCCCCAAACTGTTCATTTATTTTTATAATTGTAAATTCATCATTTTAATTTTACACACCCAGAAGCAGGCCCCCAACAGCATTATTATAAATGATTTTAAACAGCCTGTGCTTTAAAACATCAAAAATTAGGCATTAATGTCTGTTAAAAAAAAATCCCCCTAGGCAATAAATAGGTTTCTTTGTCTCCTGGCCTTGAAATAAACATTGAAATGGTCTCAATTGCCCATGGTGAGAATAAGTGTTTCGTGCAATAATCAGATGGTAGGGAATAAAATTAGAAATTAAATCATGAAGCTTAAAAACCAGGTAAATGCATATTATGCCTTTTTATGACTTTCTCTTGGGTCTTTTGAAGCCTAGTTTAATCGTGTTTCTTGTCTTTTACTTTGATATGATCCTTTCTCCTTTGTTTACTTTAGTCTCCCATTTGGTTAATTAATTCTTGGGTCATTTGTTCTTAGCCAGTTCTGAACCTGTTTTTGAGGAACATGTCTCAATGCTGGTATAAAGAGGCACATTCTCTATAAGGAGTGCAGCCAGGTCTTAAAGAAAGCTGATAATACTTGTGTTTCACCAGCTTGTAGAGTTGGTGCCCTTCCCTGGGAGTTTTGAGAGCTAGGGTGAGAGAGTTATCCTGACTGCATACGAACATTTCTTTGGCATTTTCTGTCTGAAACAACGTCGCATTCGTGTACCACGTTATTCCAATAACCTTCTGTTTTCTGGTTTGTTTGTTTTTTTAACTATAGAAAGATGTTTTAAAATTCTCCAAATGCTCCTAAGTGCATTCAGCCAAGTGTGCACTTCAGGATAATAGATAATTTGTTTCAATAGTGGGAGGCACTTTTAAAAGCGAAGAGAGCATTTTCCCATTCCCTCCAATGGCTTTTCAAATGGTTTTCACTTTAAATTCCAGGCAGTATTTTTTCCCCATCTTCAAGATGTTGCCTGCCCATCCTTGAAGGCTGGGACAGGCTCCAAGATCCAAGAAAGTGGTGACAGTCTTTTGTGGACTCTTTGAGGGGAACAGAGACTGGGAGGGTTTCCCTGGGATTCAGACCTTTCCTGGACTCCTCATATCGGAAGAGCCGGCGAGTGGTCACCTCCAGTGTCACACACTGGTGTCTCCAGGCTTGCTGAACAGTGGGGAACCAGAAGTTACCGTCTGAGTCGCCCCAGAGCCCATCAGTGTTACAGGAGGCTTTTGTCCCCTCACTTACTGTATCTGCATGTGTATCACATGAGCACTCATGTCATGTGAAGAGATGGATTTGTGGACTGATGAAACCCACACTTTGGAGCTGTCTGCTTTGTACAGGGCAAGTACATGAAAATGAGTTGGGCTTATACTGGCCCCTCCCAGCTAGGAACATGCAAGGGACATTCATGCAGGGTGATGTCTGACGGGGCCAGGAGGCAGGGACAGACAGACAGCAGGCGCTGGAGTGGCCATCTCCCAAGGCTGCCTTGGCAGTGATGCTACAACCTCAGGAAGTCTGAAACTGACCTGCTTCCACAGTCCTGTCCTTCCCGTTG